AGGATCTCAGAAATTCTTAGTTTTTTTTTTTTTAATCATTTTTTCCTTCCTAACTGAGCACCAATTACATTTCTACTATCAGTTTAATCCATGAAACAAACTCTCTTGGGGCCTGCTGGTGAGCATCCATTTGGAAGGTGGAGGCAAGAGGATTAAGAGTTCAAGGCTAGCCTGGACTGCATAGTGAGACTCCCATCTCACCAAAGAAGAAAAGGAAAGAATAAAAAAACAAAATCATACCACAAGAATAAGATTTTTCATTCTCAGTTTTTAATAGCTTTTCTTGATCAATATGACAGTATTTCACCTCATTATTTTTCCATTTGATATCCCTAACTTTGTTTTTATTGCTTCTGTTGTTTTTAATTACCTCTTGATGTCTCTAGCCCGGCACTAGAGGCTTACACCTACAATCCTAGCTACTAAAGAGGCTGAGATCTGAGGATTGTGGTTCAAAGCCAGCCTGGGAAAGAAAGTCTAAGACTCTTATTTACAATTAATCACTAAAAATAGGAAGAGGAGAGGTGGCTCAAGTGATAGAGCACCAGTCTTGATGGTAGAAGCTAAGTGAGAGCTCAAAGGCCTGAGTTCAAGCCCTAGTGGCACATTAGCATACAATAGTTGTACATGGCAGTTGATTTGATGTTTCTGTCACCACCTGTCACCCTCCCTTAGTCCACCCCTTCTTAAAGCAGTTTCACCTGTTTTCTTACCTGCCAACAGACTACTTCAACCCTATTTAAGTACTTCATGTGGTGAAACTGCCCTCCTCTCTGCCTGATTTTCTGTTAGATTAGTTTTTTGCTTCTTACTGATTTCTAGGCGCTCTATACATTATAGGTTGTTATTTATTTCTTAAACAATCAGTTGTCCTTGTTTATTTTTTAATGCTGTGTGATATTGGTTGCTTTTTCAGATGCTACACTACTTACAAAGTATATATATATGATTTCCCTCGATTTTTCTGTTATTTTGATTTTTTTCTTTTCTCTTGTAAGAGGTCATAGGAAATTTCTACCACTGGCAATGAATGCCCTTCTACCTGGTTTTTTTCCATGACTTTAGCTCTGGCTTCTAAACTCAGACAGTTTGGTGATTGAAGCTTTGAGGAGTTCCAGAAGTGTCACAAAGTTCCCACTGCTGGAAGAGACATGGAGAACAGACTCCACTTCTGCCAGGAATGCTGTTAAGGTCCTCTACCAGCCGTGCACCAAGAGCAGAAACGAAAAGTAAGCTGTGTCCCTGGCTTTCCTCTCCAGTTGATGTCTGGGTTCCTGTTGTCCTGCTGGTGTGAAGAAGTAATGATTGAGCAGGGTGCTGGTGGTCATGCCTGCCATTCTAGCTACTCAGGATGCTGAAATCTGAGGATCACCGTTCAAAGCCAGGCCCAGCAGGAAAGTCCTTGAAACTCTTAACTCCATCAAACCACCTAAAAACTGGAACTGGCGCTGTGGCTGAAATTGGTAGAGCCTAGCCTTGAGCAAAAAAGCCCAGACCCTGAGTTCAAGCCCCATGACCAACAATTATAACAATAATAAAAGAAATAATGAATGAAATAATCCACAACACTTCCCTGCCAGAAGCTTCCAGCAGTCCTGCTGCTGGTCTGGTCTGGGTACTTCACGTTGACAGAATTGTCACAGACTACTGTGAGAGCTTGCTTTCACTGAAATGATTGCTCGTCTTCCTCTAGTCTCAGCCTCCTGCCTCCTTCCTTAAAATCCACAAAGTTAAATGTTTATATGGCTTTTACTCTTGATTACGGGGATCTCTGCTCTTTGCATCTTCTTGTGTCTTCTGATCCTTTGGGGTGGGGTGGGTGGGGCAAAGAACAGCAGGAGACAAGAGTGATAGATTAATCTTAGTTAAGGGGAAGGGGGAACAGAAGCCAAGGACATAACTGAGAGTTTGAGGGTGGGTGGAGGAACTTGTCAGGAAAGATATTTAAGGTATTTAAGTGAGAAATTGGAAGGCAGTGAAGTGGTGAGCCATGACTGAGGGGAAGCCATTCCCAGTGCGGACAACGAGCATTTGATTTTGTGAGGTTGGAAGTTTTTACTTGTGCAGCATGTTCAGATGGTCACTTTCGTGCTCCAGACAGAAAACAGAAAAATCCTAGGTTGTTTGGGGTTTTTTTGTTTGTTTTGCTTTTTGTTTTTGCTGGAAGTAAATAAGACACCCAAAAAATCACGTACTTTTAAAAATTATTCCAGCATTAGAAGTCATAAAAGTTCCAAGTACTTAGAGTCATGTATAGACTAAAACAAAGGCCAGCAGAGCGCTACGCACCAGCGTAGAAATGCAAGTTGTGTCTTCAGATCTTTGACAAGTACCCAGCAAAGAGAGCAGGTTGGCAGGCACAAAGTCCCCGTCCTGGTGCAGGAATTCAGTACTCTGAAGAGACGTAAATTAAACTCAGCCCCGCTCACCTTTAGAAGAACTAACATCCAAGAATCAAAGTTAATAGAGAAAACTGAAAACTTGAATTATTCTCACAGAGTTTGAGAGACTATTGTATTTTTTTTTCTTTTTGTGCCAGTACTGGGGCTTGAACTCAGAGCCTGGGCATTGTTCTTTAGTATTTTCCATTCAAGACTGGTGTTTATTCACTTGAGCCATAGTGGCACTTTTGGCCTTTTGGTGATTCATTGGAGATAAGAGTTTGATGGACTTTCTTGCGTGGACTGGCTTCAAATCATGATTCTCAGATCTCAGCTTCCTGAGTAGCTAGGTTTCCAGGCGTGAGCCACCAGCACCCGACAAACTTATTTTTCATTGGCACCCAGATTCTAGTACTTTGTGATCTTACATTCCCTGAAGTAAGTGGGATGTCTTGCAAGTTGGGTAAACATTCTGGAAGGTATTTACTTCTGTTTACTAAGGACGCGAGTGTCTTCTTTTGGGGACATGACTGAACACACTCAGACTCCCTGGCAGATTTTTGACACATGGGGTGGTATATGGTCTATTTTAGTCCACCTGGGTAGAACTCTTTTCTAGTGGAAGTGTGGCTTTGCCAGATGGCATCTAAAAGAGGAAAATAGCAAATGGAACTATGACTTTATTTCCTTGAGCACTGGCAAAAATTGGCATGTCATATTTTTAGACTGTTCTTTCTTTCTAGCAATCTCTCTCAACATGTTGAACTGTGTGTGTTTTTTAATTACTCCTTCCTTGCTCCAGCCAGACTTTCACATTTCAGTGAGCACTAATGTTCTTTGTTGTTTGTGTTTTTATTGATCTATGTTTTGTATTTGGAATATTGGATCCTGTAGCTCATGTTCTTTAGTTTGCACATCAGAGTTTGGAACCTGTGTAGTGGATTTTTAGGTGGAAGCTCTTCACTTCTGGAGTTTGATTCTGTCAAAATTGTGTGTGGCCTCAATTCTCTAGACTGAAGGAAATTTTGTCCCATGAGGGGACAGTTGATTATATCTGGTACCATTGTTGAATGTTACAACTTGGGTGGGGGGATTAACTGGCATCTAGTAAAGTGAAAGGGGAATACTTAGAGCATCGTAGGGTTCACTGGAGAGAGCCTCACAGCAAGGAATTTTCTGGCTCACAGGGCCTGTGGTAGCAGCGAGTACTGAGTACTTGCTCTGATTGATCTCTCTCTCACTCTCCCCCCATTCTATCTCGAATTGTGTTTATTTTAAACTTAGTTTTTTGTTTGTTTTACTTATTTTTTGTGTCCTTCTGAGGCGTAAACTAAGGGTCTGGGCTCTATTCCTGAACGTTTTCGCTCAAGGATGGCACTCTGTCACTCGATCCATAGCTCCACTTCTAGCTTTTTGCTGATTAATTGGAGTTAAAAATCTCGCGGACTTTCCTGCATGGGCTGGCTTCAAACCCTAATCCTCATTCTCATGACTAGGTAGGATGGCAAACGTGAGCCACTGATTCCCACCTTTACGTATGTGTGTGTGTGTTTGTGTGTGTGTATATATACACATACATATATACATATATAATTAAGTAGTGTATAAAGGAGTTACCTCAATCAATCAGTTTCTAAGGGCAATATATCTATTTATTTTCTTGTAGTTGAAGCCAGAATAAGATTGCCATGAGCAGGACTATTTAGAAGAAGACTCCCACATTTATGGATAAAGGACAATAAGTCTAGAGAGAGGAATGACAGGCATGTAGGATGAAAGCAACCGAGTATGGTTTTTTAGGCACTAAAGGAAGAACATACATGCCAGAAGTAGGAAGTGGTTCTGGTAAAATGTTGACTTTGTTGAATTAAATTATGAAGGTCATTTGCTGGGAGCAGTGACTGAAAAGCAGTGTTAGCAGGCAGAAGTTAGCATGAATGGACCACTGTGTCAGAAAGACTGGCCCAGAAGGGAAGGAGAGGAGCCTGCCCTGGGTAAGCAAGTAGAGTCTGTCAGGCCCCAGAGTCTGTGAGGGGCAGAAGGAGATTCCTGTTGACAACACCTGAGTCTCATGTGAGGGAGGCAGAATCTAGGACAAGGCGTGAGCAGTCAGTGTCTCAGGCTCCTGTGAGCACCTAGCTTGGGAGCTGGGTCCACAGCCCTTTAGTAAGCAGAGGAAAGGAAATCAGGATGGATGGAAATCAGCAGATGGAATTGGTGCATGGATTAAGTTTTGTGAAGAGGAAAGACTTGTTCTCCTCTGGCTTGTGTGAAAGGAAGGGTACTAGAGGGCTAGAAGTGGAAGAGAAGGTAAGTTGCTTGTTATTATTCAGGTGTTACACAGAAGGGGTTACCATTTTGTAATCAGGTAGTACCCACTACATTTCTTTTTTGTTTGGATGTTGTCACCCCTTCTGAAGGATTTTAAATGAACCTTTGGACCAAGATACAGGAACTCATCTGAGGTTTGTGGTCATGCATTTGTGGGTTTTATTCTTCCCTAGGCTGTGACTTTCTCCAGTTTGTCATCTATTGAGTGCAGGCACAGACAAAGCCATAGTTGGGTTCATTAGGGGTGAATGTGTTATTGTTGCCTTGCAAAGAATATTATGTTACTCTTATGTTATCAAATGAAGGACTGAAGAAACTATGTGGTTTATTTTAATGAATATTGAGAGTTGGATTGTAGCTTCTAATCACTTACTGAAACTTAGCTGTGGTTTCGGAGAAGGCTTTTAATTAGATAGCTGAAGCTTCTCAAAATGTTATTTTTAAAGATACCAATGAGTATTGATGGGAAATGAACTCTTTTAAAACATAGTAAGGAAAAACTCAAGTCTGTAATGGAATTTTAGCAGCTACTCAAAGGAATGCCTAAAGGTAAGAATTTCTTGAGAATTTTCTTGGTGAGTTTTGGAACATCCATTTTGGAAGGACCTTTGCCCTCATATGACAGCGTCAGGAAGATGTGTAATCAGTAGTATCTGCCAGGGTTTTACTGGGATGCTCGCCATGCACAACAACTAGAATGTTCTGGTTGGTTCTGCTTCTTTAGGGTTGAAATCTGAATGTTGGAGTCCAAGGATAGCTGTAGCAAAGGGAAGATGTCTGTTTCATTTTTTGTCATTTGGGGAATTTTTTTGGAGGGGGGTCATTTGTGGGGCCTCAACTCTGGGCCTGGGCGCTGTCCCTCAGCTCTTTAGCTCAAGGCTAGCTAGCACTCTACCACTTGAGCCACAGCACCACTTCCTGCTTTTTCTTTTTCTTTTTTTTGGGGGGGTCCGGTCGTGGGGCCTGAACTCTGGGCCTGGGTGCTGTCCCTTAGCTATTCAGCTCAAGGCTAGCACTCTACCACTTGAGCCACAGCGCCACTTCCGGCTTTTTTCTTATGTGGTGCTGAGGAATTGAATCCAGGGTCTCGAGCATGCAAGGCAAGTGCTCTACCACTGAGCCACCTTCCCAGCCCCTACTTTTTCTTTTATGTGGTGCTGAGGAATCAAACCCAGGGCCTCATGCATGCAAGACAAGCACTCTACCCCTGAGCCACTTTCCCAGCCCTCATTTGGGGATTAAAAAAAAAAAAAAATATATATATATATATATATATATTTTAATATACACACAGACTGCTATGAGAACCCTGTGGGTGCAGGCATAACTATAACATTTCATTCTTGGCATTCCCATGGTTAAACCTGTCTGCCATTGTGACTCCTATGAGGGGCAAGGCAGGCCTTCTGGCCAAAGCCTCCAGCAGCGTGCAGGCCTCTGCTGGCCCTGCAGCGTGTGCCACATGGACTCTTCTGTCACCATTTCCCTCCACCGTGGACAAAATTTCTCTCCCCAAC